CAATAGTTATCAAAACTATAGACCCACCCGATTGGTTTTGTCGAATAAAAACTGGAAAGCCTCCTTGGCGATGATGAACTTCCTTTCCGCTGAAAAAAAAACAACAGCTTGAAATGTGGTGAAGAACAAGTGAACCATCGCTTCACAGGGTAAACTGTAATGTGACGTGCCACCACACATAAACTTTGCTATGAAGACTTCGAAAAAAAAAACAGGATGACATCAAGCATTAAGACTGCTAAAACCTTCTGACTTGCGTGATAGTGCGCTCATGAAAGAAATGCTTCTAATCGACAAGAAGAAACATCTTTTTGCTATCACAAAAATGCTAATTATAGCACGTTTTTACATTTAAACTGAGAAAAATAGACTTTTTTCTCACCTATACTCGACCATCAGAAAACTTCAATAACATTACCTTCTTCTTTGTTGCCGAGATTTTTGTCAGGATGCCACCGTAAACACTGCTGCTTGTAGGCTTTCTGCAGCTCCTTGTCCGAGCATCCTCGCTCTAATTCCAGCACCTCGTATGGATTGAAGGAAATTTTCGGAGCCATTTGGACTGCTAGAATAGTAAACAGTAAGTACAGTAATCAGCTATAATTACAACGAAATATAGGGAGAGGACAAAAAAATGGAAACAGTAGTTCACTGGACTAAACCACGAAAATTCGGAGGCAAATTGAGTAAACCATTTATTTTACCTATAAGTAGCAGAAGATGAAANCGTTCATGATTAGACAAGGCAAGACCGGACTACAAGAGCGAAATATAACGCACACATAGATCATTTCTGTGACTTAGCGTACTCCTCGAAGAATTTCTCGTAAGCAGCGACATCGACTGGATTGAACAGCACAAGAACAATGCGTGCAATCTGTAAATACTGGTTTTGGAAGTGTTCTGGCCATGAAACTACTTTATAACAACGTCAATTACTCGAGACAAGCAGCCGTATGACTGCCACTACATAGAAGTTTGGAGATTCAATAGGGTCCAGGCCTTCAGCACATTCTTTCCCCAGGAATCGCACCAATTGGAGACAGGTTTATTCGGGAGCATCACAAGACTGAATTGTAAACCAAATGGGATGTCCAGCAATTCATAATGTGAGCGAAACAAATATTCAGACGACAATACGATTCAGAATAAGTTCGGAATGAGTGGCTTCCCAACATCTCGCAGCCCACATCTTCATTCTTAGGTAATTGTGGAGGATAACCCTCTTTTGGATGAACCCACACAGTTCGAGTAACCATTTAGGTGACGAGTGAATGGAGAAGTTTTTCAAAAAAAGCCGGCAATTGCTAACGTCGGTTTTTTTCTCATATTAGTCTTTTAGGTAGGTAGTTCCAATGGGATGAGAGGCTAGTTTACCATGAGCAGATTCCTTATTTCGTACCATTATTGTTACAAACTTAGACTTTCCGATAGGCAAAGACCCTCTTTTTCGCACATCAGTTGTTACTACACTAATACATTGATTGCTTTAAGATAAGAAGATAAAACAATACTCCCCTTCCCATCATGCTATTTAGAGGTGCTATTTAGAGGAGAAAGAAGCTACGCTAAAGCAAACGCTATGTGATCAATGTTTCGTGTTGTGATCAATCTTCAGCGCTTGATATGCAAAANACAAACTTAGACTTTCCGATAGGCAAAGACCCTCTTTTTCGCACATCAGTTGTTACTACACTAATACATTGATTGCTTTAAGATAAGAAGATAAACAATACTCCCCTTCCCATCATGCTATTTAGAGGAGAAAGAAGCTACGCTAAAGCAAACGCTATGTGATCAATGTTTCGTGTTGTGATCAATCTTCAGCGCTTGATATGCAAAAAGTGAGACTGGACAAACAAGTTGGATCACCCTTAGACTCATGCTATGAGCCGAGCCCTCGAATTCCATCATATCGACCAACTGTGCTGATTGCTTGCCGGAGATGACCCAAGGAAAACTCGAAGTGTAGCAAATAGGTACATTATGGTTCGTATCACATTTTGAGCAGAACAAATAATATCGATCAAGAAACATCCAGTAATTCGAAGTAGAAAATCAAATGAGAATGTCCAGCGTAAACTACATATACGTAAAAATCCAAGAAAAAAATCGAGAGCATGAATAATAAAGAAAATATATAACTGGATATAAACCATCGAACATACGTTCATAGCATTCTCTGGCTTCGACAACCAATCGGTAAGGAAACCAACGACTGTTTTAGCAGCATCTTCCTGAGGATAACCATAAACACCTGTTGAGATACAACAGAATGCCTGAAAGGGTTCGTCGAGAACAAGCGTTTTCGGGGTAAAACTCGGCGAAACTTACAATGGTCTTGAGTTTGTGCTCTACAGCCAAATTAAGACAGGATCGGTAGCAAGACAACAATTTTTCTCGATCACTCGCTGAGGCAACATTGCCAGAACATATAGGACCAACAGTGTGTATAATATCTGAATCAATATCTGATCAATAAGAAGCAGGGAAAACTGTTTTCAGCTATGTTGTAGAGAGATGTTCTCGTAATGATAAGAGAATTGAGCAAAGCTTTAATATGCGGGTTTTTTGGCGTTAACGAGATACTGATGGGATAATAACGGTTAGTAGACAGATCAGAGGTATTGAACTATGAAGGTCTTGCCTCCCCTGCCCAACACCCCGAAAGTACAAGGGAGGGGGGGTTAGCATCAAAAGCTCCAAGTAAGCAACGGGTGAAGCTTTGCAGTGATATGAATAAAGACAGAAATGAGAACATACAAAAAGTGAACTTCCTGAAAGACCTGATTAAAATTTAGTTGAAACTACGCGGTGCTGTTCACTGCTATAAGCGCAAAGATAGATAAAAAAAAGTTATACTAACGCTGATGATGACATTACGCGTACTTTTAATATGTGACATCTTGCAACCGCTTGTTATCACTGCAGCACCAGTGTCGCAGTGTCCAATAGCTCGGCATTCTTTTTGAAGTTCAGCAGTACCAGCTGCACGATGTATGGCTCCATCTACTCCTCCACCTATAACTTGGAGTAGAATAGAACTTGTAACGACGGAACATTACAAGAAACAGATTAATCTTGGCATATACATTATCGTTACGATGCGTTTTCATAGACAATGAGATGACTATTACTTTATAATTCGAATTTGTATAAATGGGACACGCGATGACTTGATGACAAGTGTGGAGACACTGATTCCAGAATGATATCCACTCAGGCCAACCAATCCTTTTACCTCGTTGAAGTCGATTGATTGATACCAGACTCGTCTAGCAGGTGCTAACTTCTAAGAGGATGGTCACCCCAGCTTAAGTTGTGCATACTCACTCACCACGCCATTATGATTCTAAATGGAAGTCGAAAGTGGGTAGCATCCCAAGATGAAATTGATTGGAACCAAAGACCTTATAGCTTATCCTTTATTCAAATTTATTTGTATAAATAGCTCATATTGCCTTCTTTCAACAGTATTCTCGAGTCCTTGAAAGACACTAGTATAAGTAAGGCTAACTTGATGTCTTGAAATATTTTGACCATTTACTTCTGGTCTCTTTCTCAATCGATCTCCACTATTTTTTGGATATTTACATCAAAAATATTTTCTTAGTAAACATTTACCGTTTACTGTTCAATCACAAGTGAAGTTTCACGGACCTCCTGCCAATCTGTTGTTTGCCGCATTAACGATGGCGTCGATTTCAAGGCGGGTGATGTCGCCACGCCACAAGGAGATCTTCTCCAGAACACCTCGAGCAACGCCAACTGAATACCATAAATACAAAAATGAGAACGGATTCAAAATAAAGGCACCACTAATCTTTAACAACACAACCCATAAGGGGAGAAAACCATTAGTCATTTAATACTATTAATTGAAGCTATTGAAGGACATGATCACGAGAGGTTTACAATCAGTAAACATGCCCTTCAACATTGAAACTGACTTATGTAAGCGGAGAAAGTCAGTCGGTACCCAATGTTAAGGTCGACAGCGGCAATGACTTACTCAACCCATTTCCACCGCAGGAATGTCCATTTCAATGGCTCCTAGGTGTGCTGCTTCGCACCGCTTCAACTTCAGTTATGCCTGACAAGAACAGCCCTCCTTCAAAATGGACACGAGTATTGCTTCGTTAGGATCATATCAAACTCCATGGACAAAACCAGGTGACCATACTTGAACTCAGGAAGGATCTTGCCAAAGAATTCAATAGACTCAACCACCCTAGAACTCCTTCTCTCCTGATGAATAGTGAATAATATTTGACGGTTGAGAAACTTTCCTAAACGTCACCTTCTCTGTGCTCTGGCGTTCAGCGTTAGAAAATAGCGGTGGGCTCCCAACTAAATTTTTACCAGTATTTGTTGTTATACCGGAGCAAATTCATGATGTTAAATGTAAAAAAGATCAAATTCGTCTGACATAACTCACATTTGTCGAAAAGTGTAGGAATCTCCTTTAAGACGGTCACCATACCTCCTATAAAAACAAAATGAACCTAATTTATCTGAAAAAAAAACAACGAACAATCAAAAGGCAGTTTAGCAATACGAAGAGATTCCACACCTAGTATGGGTTGACTCGGAAGACTTCAGAAGGACAGAACGGAAAGATTAATAAAGATTGCTGTGAAAGATTAATAACCAATATCAACGATTCCCACCAGATACAAGAAAAATGCACGAAAAAAGACGTTCGCGAATGAGCTTTTACCAAAATTCGTAAAACTTGTGCGTCACCTGACATTGTCCGCAAGTGCAGACGAGGTGTAAGATCTACGTCAGATTTTCGTTGTCTCAAGCGTATGGTAAAGGATTAAGTAAGAGGACTTCAAACAAATTTTACTTAGACTAAATAAGTTTAAGCCTTTCAGGTATACTCGTTATAAATGGGTACTCAACTGCTGTTGCACAGCTAATGGTTTGGTACACCCAGAATCAAACTGAGTAAATGAAGTTTTACAAATTATTACAACATCAAGTAGTAATACAGCCACAAACTACCTATCAATAGGGGTGGCGGAATTTCTTCCCGACTTCCCAAATTCGCTTTTCAGCATGTGGCAAGTTTTTTTTAGTTGTCTCGCCTTTTCAAACTGCAATCACCGTATCCAGTCGACGATTATCCAATTGTCAACGATTGAGCTGCATTGTTAAAAAAGAAAGTGATCGGAAATGATAAATGATTGGAGGGCTCCCTGACCCATAGATTTCGCGCTCCTATCGTCCATCGCGTTTCTGCGGTACGCGGCGGCCGCGGAGAGCGCGACGCGATTTTCGGGAAGAAGATACCACGGCTGAGCAACATATGCTATTCATATGTGTGTCGCGAAATAAAGGGCAGTCCATCTACCTATTACACAGAGTAGGCCATGAGCTTCACGAAAACACCTAGAGCGAAAATTCAATACAAAAAATACTTCCAAGTACGGCTTTCTATGAACCTCGGCATAATTGTATTATTGAGTTTATTGCTATTCTGAACTCTTCACGAGGT